AGAGATATGAGACTAGAGGTCAGCAGAGAGTGCTAGATATGTAGATTTGAGGGAGAAGAGAAAAAAAAAGAGGACTCAGGAGAGAGCCCTGTGAGAATACCTATCATTAGATATGGTGTATCTGAATGAGAATTCATCAGAGGAGACCAAGGAGCAAAGGAGCATTCTGATAGGTAGGAGGGGAACCAGGAACAAGTGGTGCCCCCAAAATTCAGAGAGAAGACAGTATCGAGGAGGTGGTCAACATGTCAAGTAGTGCAGAGAAGTCATGAAGAATGTTTGATTTGAAGTTTGATAATATACCAAGGGTCAGTTAGGTGGCACAGTGGGTAGAATGCTGGGCTTGGAGTCAGGAAGCCCTGAGTTCAAATGTGGCTTCAGACACTAGCTGTGTGATCCTGGGAAAGTCACTTAACCCTGTTTGCCTTAGTTTCCTCATTTGTAAAAAGAACTGGAGAAGGAAATGGCAAATCACTCCAGTATCTTTGCCAAGAAAACCCTAAATGAGGTTATGAAGAGTCAGCTGTGATTGGAAAACTATTGACCACAGTATACCATGGTAAGTGTAGTAAAAGTTGACACTTTAAACCTGCTAAAATTTTTGGAATTTTTAAGTGGTGTGTTATCATTTCCTAAAGAAAAATTCTTTTGCTAACTTTCACACTAGATACAATAGTTACTCATTTCCTGATGTTTCATGTAAGTGTAATGATATTTTTTGAACCTGAACACAGGTTACAAATTTAAATAAATGGTTTTTCACTGATAATAGACTTTAACTTTAAATTTTTTTTTATGTTGAAACTTTGTGTTTTTTGGAAGACTTGTTTTCTAAGACACTGTTCTTTATTTCTATGAAGATGGCTTTTAGAAAAGTCAGTTACTTTTGAATAATCTGCTGTAAGTTCTCTAAATTACAGTTAGTGTTGGTCATTATTGAAACAGGTTGAAAACTTTAAATTCATGGTTTTTTAAAAAAAACTGTTGTAGTTTGGATTTTTTAATTTATTTTTTTCCCTTTTGGTTTGGTTGTTCCTTATTTCCTCATTAGGCCCCAGATCTTTATAGTCTTGGAAGTTTTGTGGCACTTGTTGACTACCCGAATTTTCTTTGATGTCTTTGTTCTTTAGAATTTTAAGGGAGTTATCTTCAGTCTAGAGGGAGAAGTTCCATATGTGTTCCCTGCGTATATACGAGTGCCACTCCTCCCTTTGCCCCCATTCTCTTGAATTTAGAAATCTGGGGAGAGAGACAGAACGGTAGTGAACTTGAAAATCTCATTTGGTGAGTTCATCAGAGTAAGCAGTAGGAAAAAATAAGAATTAATTCTGAAACACTGTAGTGGAGAACAGTTCACAGTGTGAAGGTAACTTTTGTCAAACCCCAACTATTGATAATGATTTGAAATACTTCAAATGTGTGTTGTTAAATTAAGGTAAATTGGAAAGTTGCTTAAAAACAAACAAAACTTCATGTGATACTGTGGGTTAGTGAGATCTGTGAATTTTCTTTTGGAAGTAAATTTATACAGTAGAAAAACATAGTTTGTACATAATATTTTTGGATAACAGTGAGTGAAATGTAGTGTGGAGAAATGTATTCACTGTTGTTTTTGAGATAGTGGGCTAGACCATTGCAGGAACACAAGTGACTAGTTTGTCAGGCTCACTTTCAGCAGGGAGGAAGGAAAGGATGAAACTTTCTGATAATAATGTTGTGTTGAATAGAAAACACATTCCCAAAGTAAATGCCTATCCAGCCATTTTTTTTTGTTATCATTGGTCCCTGGTCTCTGTGTGTTACTCGGAGAGGAAGAGTGCAGTAAAAAGGGACAAAGGGGTAGGCAGACTTAGTTGTTTTTTAAAAGAATTGTTGAAGAAGTTATTGGGAAGTGGAACCCCAGCAACTAGTTTCTCTCAGCAGCCCATTTCCTACAGAGGAATGTCCAGTTCTGGCTCTTCCATTGACTTTGGAGAAAATAAGGATTTGTCATGGCTATAGCCCTAGACAAGCTTGAAAAGAAACTTGTGGCTCATGTTTAACTGGGCTTACCAACTGCCCTGAGGCTGACTTTTTTCCAGATTTTAGGATATCTCTCTCAGGTCTAACTTATCAGTTGTCTGCTTTGGCTCCCTAAGCTTGAAAATTGCTTTTTGACTTATTGAACTTGACCATGGGAAGTTCCCAGATTGGCAACCATTCTCTTTAAATAGTGGAGCCACTGGACTTCATTTGGACGTTACCTATATAACTTTATGGTTGTGTGTGTGTGTGTGTGTGTGTGTGTGTGTGTGTGTTACCTATGTAACTTTATGGTTGTGTGTGATCTTTAAAGAGCTTTGTATTTTAGAGTATTATCCTGAAAATATTTCTGTGCTAAAGTTCTCCGGGAAATTCTAAAGTAGTCTGGATAAATCAATTTAATAACTTCTTGAAGTTCATGATTTTGTTTCCTCCTATGAGGTAACGAGTAGATGATAAATATTCCTGTAGGATACGACTGAGATTAATTTTCCTAAAAACTAATTTTCATATTTCTTTTTCTTCTGTCATTGTTTAATTTCTTTCCTCTTCCTTTCTCAACCCACTTTTCACAGTCCTTCCCCAGGTTCCTCCCTCACGAAATCATACTTGTACATATTTCTTGAAAAACTGTCTTAGGAACTTAGTGGGTACCTCTCTCAGAACCAAGATTAATCCTAGAAAAGAAGCAAGAATCACACAGAGCCTATGCAAAGATTCTTCAAACTGTTGGGATAGTTTATGTGTGGGCTTAAAACAAACATGAAGACAATAAAACCTTTTTAATTCAGGTGCCTCTGAATTGAAATTTGTAATAATTTGGACTGTGACTGGCTTTACCACAGTACTGCTTTAGAAAAAAACTTATTTTGCACAAAATTAGAGAATTTTTAACAATATTAAAGGGAATAAATTTTTTTCTAGTATCTATTCTCCAAAAGTACCCATTTATAAATAGAAGCAATGTACTCACTGCAAAATCTGCTTTTTAATTTATTATCCTAGGTTATTTTTCAGTCGAGTCGGACCCTTCATGACCCTGTTGGGGTTTTCTTTGCAAAATGCTAAAGTGGTTAGCTATTTCCTTTTCCAGC